ATTTTTTTTTTTTTTTTTTGTCTTTTGTCTTTTTCCGTGTCCGGCAATGGATCGCAACCCTCAGTGTCGCCCCCGCACCGGACCGGGGACCGGCAACGGGATTGCACCCCTTGGCGTTGCTCCCGCGCCTCGCTCAGCCAGTGAGCAGGAACCGGTCTGCATATGGGATCCGAACCCTCGGCGGGAGCGCTGCCGCGCTTCCCAAGCAGCGCACTAGCGCAGTGCGCCACCGGGCCGGCCCGACTTTAAAATATTTTGAAGAAAATAATCTTCAAATAAAGAGCAATATGAAAGATAAAATTTTATTGCACACTCATATTTAATAATCTAATTGTTGAAGATGAAAATATACCATAATTTGGAATTAAAGAATTCTCAGGCTGGCCAAGTTGGTTAGGTCACTCGGTAGAGCATAGTGCTGATTGATAACACCAAGGTCAAAAGTTTGGATTCCCTTCCTGGCCAGCTGCCAAAAAAAGAAACCCAACAAAAACAGAATTCTCTCTCTTTTTTTTTTTTTTTTGTCTTTTGTCTTTTTCCGTGTCCGGCAATGGATCGCAACCCTCAGTGTCGCCCCCGCACCGGACCGGGGACCGGCAACGGGATTGCAACCCTTGGCGTTGCTCCCGCGCCTCGCTCAGCCAGTGAGCAGGAACCGGTCTGCATGTGGGATCCAAACCCTCGGGTGGGAGCGCCGCCGCGCTTCCCAAGCGGTGCACTTATCCAGTGCGCCACCGGGCCGGCCCAGAGAATTCTCTATTTTCATAGCTTCAAAGTAAGCTCTCTAAACTCTTATCTTTCTAAACTCTGTCTTCTTTTCTAACTCTGTGGAGTTTTTTAAAATGTATCATTGGGTGTTCTATACACTATATACAGTAATATATACCATATTTCACCAATTCTAAGATGCATATTTTCAGACTTCAACATCTCTGAAATCAATCACTATAAGAAAGCACTGTATCTAGTTTAACTAAATCTTTTTCCTTTCTTAACAATGATATCTTTAGCCTGAATGAAATAAAGTACGTATGCTGCTAACCAAATTCATCTTTTCCCCTAAGGGTTAGAAAAATATAACAGATGACTATTATGTAAGAAACAACAAACTGACATTTATTACCACCATTTATTAATGGTTTCAGACCATCATCAAGTCCTTGCCATCACCCTAAACTGCTCCAGCTCTGAAAATTTTAGGTCAAATATCCCTCCCTAACCACAAACCCCCCTTATACCCAGCATACCTATTCTAAAACCTCATCAGGAAATCAGATCCTTACATTTTTAATCAGAGCCTTTCATTTTTCGGTCCTCTCCTATTTTCACTCCTACTCTATTTTAAGCTCTATTCCACTCAGTTTAATCACTCTCACACCCAAGTCAGTTCTCTTGCCTCATCCTTCTGTCACATTTGTCCTCTCAACCCTACTTCCTGATAGATATCTATCTGGATGTCCCAGGTACAAAAATTCAAAAAATTGTCCCAAACTTAACTCATCATCTCTCTCTTATCTCATCTTGCTGCTCTTTCTATTTTTAACATCTCTGTGAATGGCATTATGATTCATTCAACTGTCACAGTGCAGAAACACAGGAGTCACACTTGACTCCACCCTCACTTTAAAATCCTGACATCAAAATCACCAGAACCAGTAGAAAAACAAACCATCGGGAAAACAAAGAGGTTCTTACCAATGTACAGAATTTTGGTTAACACTTCTCTGCACAACTGAATCTCTCCCCACTACATAACCTCATTCTTTGCCTACACCACAAAGCCTTCTAGAAGGTCTCTGCATAACTCTACCCAAGGTGAAACAACACAGATCAGTGCTTCTCAAATTATCTGTGGTGGGTCTTTGTAAAATGAAAATGAGTTAACTAGGCAAATCAATTTTTTTGAAAGACATACAAAAAGCACTAGCACAGTTTTTTTAATTATTTCATTCAAATGACAAAAAAAATTAGTCAAACTGCTATAAAATTTCCTAAATGCTCATTCTCAATTGCTGTAGTTATCCAGTTGAGGACCAGTAACACAAAAGTACTGAACCAGACAACAGCTGGCACCCATGTAAAACTTTTCTTTGTTTGTATTAATTTACTCATTACAATACTATTACCATAAAATGCATTCTTGACCTAAGCCTTAACCTGAACCCTTCTATTCTGTCAAAGAATAACTATGTTTTTGACTCACTTTTGTAGTCAAAAGAAAACAAAACAACCCGCAGTTCTACCTGTTTTCTTAATTTGCTTTTTCTCCCTCTCTCCATAAGGACTAGCTCATCTATCATTTCTCCTTAATACTTTCATTTCTAATAGATAACCTGGGTGCCCTTATCTCCTCTGAAATAAACAGAATCCCCTTTTCTATCAATTCTGCCTTCTCAATATGTAAAATAGCAAGAATGCAGAAAAATTCCACAACTTAAGAAAATTTCAAAATGCCTTTACAATCAACAAAGTTAGTTCCACTCAGAAACACTTCTCAACAGCTCTAATCCAGAACAGGGGATAAAATTCAATTAGAGTATAATATCAATTCAGCATATACTTGCAATGAAATAAGACTTCACATATTGAGATGATACTAACTTACATTAAAGTCACAAATTAACAAACCCATGATTTATCTTTTAAAGCAAAGTAATCTTCTATTAATCATTTCTAATTTTATTTGAACAATAACAGAAAGAAAACACTGATTTTAATGAAATCAATGATTCAATAAACAACTATACTTACGTGTTAGATGAAAGATCCCATCACAGGCACTAATATGAGATAAAAAGGCATTTCCCAGGCCCTGCCCATTGTGAGCTCCTTTCACAAGGCCAGCAATATCCACTACATTTAGAAAGGCAGGAATTTTGCTGAAAAACAAAAGATGGTTTTATTATGAAATAGTACTAAGAACCTGTTTATTAACCAAATTAATTCTCCAAACATTTCACATAAATTAATTCTTTCCTTTCTAGAACAATGTACAGAAGGCACTCAATAATCATTTGATAATGAGTATCTGCCCCCCCAAAAATGAAATTTTAAAAAAACTGTTAATGCATTAGGACTTTCCTACCTAGGAAAATGAAGGAAAAAACCAAAGCAGAATAGATGTACTCACTGCGTTTCTGTGGCTAAAACTCTTATCATTAATTTTATTATAACACTTAACTGGCAAATGCTTATACACACTAAAGAAGCAGAGAATATTTAAACAGTATACTGATACAGGGCATGGTAATTATCACAAAATGAGCCAACTTACTTTGCTGGCACAACAAAACTTTGTGCCAGGTACTAGACTAAGTACTTTACATGTATTATCTCATTCCAAAGTTCAAAACAACTCTACAAAATAAGTGTTGTTTATTAAACATAATTTACAGAGAAGCAAATGAAGAAATCTATTGCATACAAGATCATTCAGCCAGCAGTGACAAAACTGAATTCAAACGCAGATTGTCTGGGTTTGCATTTAATCATCATATATGTTACATAGCCAAAAATGACATGTAATGGTGAGAATCAGTTATAAGCACAGTAATAACCTAGATGTTAATAACAGCAACAGAATTAGATGTATATATAAAATAACCTTTGCTTTGCTAAGAAAATGCATGGTTAACACAAGTTAGAAACCAAATTAGGAAAATTAGTCTGCCATGTAAAAATGGAGACTTAAGGGGCTAAAAGGTTAGATAAGTTGGTTCGAGTATGGTGCTGATAATACCAAGGTCCAGGGTTCAATCCCTTTGCGAGCCAGCATCAAAAAAAAAAAAGGAGATTTAAGTGTATGAGCAAATAAAAGTTACTTTCAATGTCATATGACAAAGATATATGGTATAACCTTGCATCCTTTGTCAATTTTTAAGAGCATTCACGCTTCAGAATGTGAATTTCACTACCCAATATAGTACAATATAAAAGCTCAACAAAAGACTTCCCTATTATCTGCACGGAAAATGAGTCCTTTCAAAACAATTGTTTTATAAACAAGTATTACAGATAGAAATTAATTGATAATTGTTACCAGCAAATCCGCTGAAAATGCATAAGCATGGTTAGTTTTTTATTGTTGAATACTGCAACTGCCTCCTCAGCATCCCTTGCCCATTTCCTTGGTAACTACACTGATTTCTATTTGGGAGCCATACCTCTCCAGTGTAGCCCAGAACTTTAGAGAAGCTTGCTGTACTTCATCGGCCCCAACTCTCCAAGTGGGGCATGTGGCTCAGGCCTATACTAATCAGTTTAATCTCATCCCTAGACACAATCAATGATGCTAGGACCTTCACCTTGCCCTATTTGCCTCAAAAGACTTAAGGAGAGGTTTCCTAGAAAGGATGAGGAAGGTTTTTGAATACAAACTCATCAAGTCTTCTGAGAGAGCTTCTAGAAGCAATTCTCTTTCACTCTGAAAACGGAAGAGAAAGTATACAGTTCCAAGAGTCAAGAGACATCCTGTGACCATCAGGGGAAAGCAACTTTATGATCAAGCTGATGGTCTTCTGAGAGAGCTTCTAGAAGCAATTCTCTTTCACTCTGAAAACGGAAGAGAAAGTATAGTTCCAAGAGTCAAGAGACATCCTGTGACCATCAGGGGAAAGCAACTTTATGATCAAGCTGATGAAGAACGTAAAGTGGAATGGGGAAAGAAACCAGGTCCTTGATGGCACCACTGAGCTAAACACAGTGCTATCTGTTACTAACTCAATAAATCAATTCTTTAAATCAATATGTTAAATGCAACCAAACTCATCCTATAAGATATAATTTCTGTCTACGGCCATACCACCCTGAACGCGCCCGATCTCGTCTGATCTCGGAAGATATAATTTCTAACAACTAAAACTACCCATATGATAAATATGAAGTACAGTAGCATGCAGATGAGTAAAAAGACACTAAATTTGCAGCCTTGGGTTCTATTCCTGGTTAACATTAACTAAGTGTGATTGTGGGCAAATCATTTCAACCTTCTAGGCTTCAAGTTTCTTTTTATAAGGAAACTAGACAGGAACATCTCCAGCTCTGAGATTTGATTTTTTAATGAAAATGAGTTTCTTAATTATTATTCTTGATTTAAGGCCAGGACAAAGGTTCAAATTATTAATACAGCATCTCAAAAGATAAAAACTTAAGGCTTAATTCAAGAATTTTTGTTTCTATTAATTCAAGGATTTCTGATGTATTATACCAATGACTTCATGACTACTTGAGCAAAATATTACTTTTAGATCCTATGAAACTTTTTAATTTAATTTAATTTAATTTTATTTTTATTTTTGGCCACAAGTCTTAATACATTTTAAAAGACTAAGATCATAGAAAATACGCTCTCTGACCACAATAACAGAAGGAAATTTAGAAAATTCACAAATGTGTGGAAATTAAACAACACTCCCCTAAATAAACAATGGGTAAAAAGATAAATCACAGGGAAATTAGAGAGTACTTTGAAATAAAAATCAAAGCACAACATATCGAAATTTATAGGATACATGGTTCATGCAGTGCTTTGAGGGAAATTTATACTTGTAAACACCTACATTAGAAATAAGAAAAATCTCAAATCAGTAATATAAACTTCTACCTTAAGAAAACAGAAAAAGAAGAGCAAAGTAAACCAAAAGCAAATATAAGTAGCAAATAACAAAGATTACAGCAGAAATATATGAATATGAAACTCTCTTGAGACTAAAATGTTAAAAATCTTTTTAATCACGGGCCGGCCCGGTGGCGCACTGGAGAGTGTGCCGCTTGGGAGCGCAGCGGCGCTCCCGCCGAGGGTTCGGATCCCATGTGGAGACCGGTTCCCGCTCACTGGCTGAGCGTCGTGCGGGCGCAACACCGAGGGTTGCGATCCCGTTGCCAGTCCCCCGTACGGGCGTGACACCGAGGGTTGTGATCCTGTTACCGGTCAGTAAAAAAGAGACAAAAAGGAAAAAAAAAAAAAATCTTTTTAATCACTATACTGTAATGAACAAAGAATACCAAAAACATTTATAAATTTTTCTTCAATAGAAACAGATTGAATGATACTTCTAAGTAGGATTTTTCTTTTATCCAGAAAAAAAAAATAAGACCTGCTATATAACTAAGAAGTTTCGGGTACTCTAGCTCCACCCACTGAGAGGACAACATAGGAACAGCACCACTCCAGTAGCAAAAAGCACAACTATATCCAGACTCTTTGTTTCTAAGTATCACTCTCTTCTAAAATGAACCAGGACTCTTTGCAGGAATGGGTAACTCCAAGGCCAAGGGAGGGAAAATACAAGAAGAATCGGGAATACCTTGAATACCTCATTGCACCAGTAGCAAGGAAATGCTCAGAGAATGACTGGGACAAGTAAAAAAAAAAAAAAGAGACAGAAGCCAGCAAGAAAATAAAGAATGCTACTAACAAATTGTAATTTTACAAGCAAAACCATGAGTCTATAATGATATAAATATATAAATGAACAAATAGGGGATAAGCAAAACCTCTCCCCTATAGTAGAACACCAATTAATAAATCTACAAATAATGATGGAATTAGAAAATCACCATTTGGAAATCATCAGCCTAATAATGATTGGTTGGGTGAAGATTTGATGAGGAAGAGGGTATTTACGGAGTTTTAAAAATATGTACTAATTACTTATTAATTAATAAGTACAACATTATTAACTACCTTGACAGTGGAGAAATCTAGCAAATACCCTATAAATCAAGTGATCAAAGTTATTTTTACCAATAGAGGAACAAATCAATATTGGGTACTTTCAGATATGATACACTGCGAAGAATACAGCATCACTTCTGTGTTACACCAAAAATGTATAAATCATGAGGAAATATCGGGCAAACCCAAACTGAGGGACATTCTAGAAAATAACTGGCTTATACTCTTCAAAAATGACAAAGGAAAGACTAAGAAACTGTTTCAGATTGGGGATGACTAAAGAGATAAAACACATAAAACCCATAACATATCATCTTAGTTTGGATTCTGAACCTTTACATAAAGCATAAAGTTATTGGGACAACTAGAAAAATCTAAATGGGGTCTGTGAATTAGATGGTAATACTGAATCAATGTTAATGTCCTGATTTTGATGGTTTACTGTGGTTATGTAGCAGAGTGACCTTGTATTTAGTAAATACAAACTGAAGAACTGACGTGCAATGTGGCATTATGCCTGCAACTTATTCTCAAAGATTCAGAGAATCTGAGTTTATATGGGTATATAAGAACTCTGTGTGTAATTTTGCAGCTTTTATATAAATTTGAAATCATTTAAAAACACAAAGTTTTTAAAAAGGACACTGAAGTAAACTTGAGGACCCAATTTGAGGGATATAATTTGACATGATATTAACAGTTGTGACAGATTTTAGCCAATTGTATGACATTGATCTGAATAAATACATGAATAAATAAATGAAGGCAAGAAAGTTTTTCCTAGCAGCAGAATGTCAACCAACAATGAAGAAGGAATGATGGAATTACAAAATCACCATGTGAGAATCACCATAGCAATAATTCATCAAAAAAATAAATGGATGATACAACTAGTAGACAAAGTGGGAAAAGAGAATAAATTTAGTATACATTTTGTAGTCAGAACTCACAGGAATTGCTGATAGACTGGATGTGAGGCAGGCCAGGGGAAGAGAAGAATCAAGGATAAATTTGGGGCACTGACTTAAACAACTGAGGAAATGATAGTGCTACTTATTGAATTATGAAAGTCTTCAAAGAAAAAATTGGGCACAATAAGGTGAAAGTAAGAGGTCCATTTTGGGGTCTGGCCAGTTAGCTCAGTTGGTTACAGCACCACCTTATAACACCAAGGTCACTCACTGGCTCGGATCCCTGTACTGG